ATATATATATATATATATATATATATATTAGGGTGGTCCTTAAAATGGTCATTATCAAATTTCTTTGCTCCCAGGGGCTCAAATGGTTCCAAATAGATAAAAAACAATTCTCTGAAAGTTTTAGCTCTTAATATTAACGTTTAGATAGAGCGCAATTCAATCAAACTTCGTATGGAAAGAGCATGGAAAATTTTTTGAAAATTTAAAAAAAAATGTTTTAGGTATAACTTAGCGACAAATGAATAAGTTTTATTCATTCATTTGTTCGCTAAATTACATCTGAAAAACATTTTTAAATTTTTTCATGCTATTTCCATACAAAACTTTGATTGAATTGCGCTCTATCTAAACGTTAATATTTGGAGCTAAAACTTTCAGAGAATTGTTTTTCATCTACATGGAACCATTTGAGCCCCTGGGAGCAAGGAAATTTGAAAATGACCATTTTAAGGACCACCCTAATATATATAAATATATATATATATATATATATATATATATATATATATATATCGATATCAAAATTGAGAGAAATCCAAATTACTAGGATTAAAACTCATTTACGAGTCATTGTTCTTTATTAATTCTGCATGTAATAGTTATTTTGCTATCTAATGAATTAATAGTAAGTTGCATTTAACGAAACCTTTGAACAGTTTCTGTACGAGTGTTTTATAACATTACATTTAACCATGTTTTATCATGAAAACATTATCATTGAAATTGCCATAAAAGATCAACAAAGCGTTTACAATGAACAGAATAATGTTTTATGCACATACAATTGTTTATGAATCGAAAGATAAAAGCAATATTTTTGATTCACAAGGTCGGTAACAAATATATTTTGAATTTAACATTATATTGGGATGTTGCACAAGTTTTATTTGAAGAATATTATAACACTAATCTTCCATCAAAATACATTAAAATATTATGTATGATATAGACTCTCTTTATAAGTGTTTACATTTGCTAATGTAATAGATAATCTTATTGTATATAACAATGAACTTACGTTGATGAACATTTAAACCAATACTGAATAACTGTTTTGCAACATCAACAATATGAGATTCAATCCAATCATATAACAATTCCGAAGATAATGGTATTTCATCAAACATCAAAACCCAGTATCTGCTACTAATACTTTTTAAGAGAAATAGCTGAACCTAATGTTTTAAATAGAAACTCATAAATTCTGCTATACTCTTGTATCTCTGAATGCAACTTTCTCAATGTTTGAGGACATGGCAAAATAAATATTTGTCTCCAAAAATAGTAGACCTTTGGAGACTTTTTGTACGACTTATTCCTTAAATTATTGCATTGTTTATCAATCCTTCTTGTCATTACATATTACATTCCTTGGTTGTCAAAAGTACTCCTGCGCTTTGTTCGTGCATTTTGCAGCAATTTGCAGGCACCCCCAAGACACCTATTCAATATAATAACATGTTGAAATATCTTGATTATAGATAATTATTGCTGCAATTATTATTAAAAAATACCTTTGCGGAAACTTGTATTGGAATAGCTAAATATTTTAACCCGCACTTGACACTTTTTTGGGTACAATAAAAACACTTTGCCATATTAAATTTCACTTAAATGTTCACATAAACACAATAAATTAATTAGAGACAACACGAGTTGACAAAGTTAGGTTATTCGTACAGCGATCAAATACTTCACAGCCACTTGCACGAAACACGAACAATTTGTAGTTGAAATTGAGTACACATAAGCCATCTGTTTTTAAAAATTGACACTACTCACTTTCTATCTACTCCTATTTCCATTACCGCATTACAAAGTTTCACTTCTACGCGTAGTTCTTTAAAATATTTTTTTTAACGAGCAAGTTGAGATATATTTCTAGATTCATGTATATATTTATAGATTCAAGAAATATCAACATACATACATGCATTAATCATGATTATATTTCTTTGTATAAGCAAAACTTTGATCATAGTCTTCAATAAAACATCATCTCGATCAATTATCAGGAAGTTGAAAATTCAATAATAATTATTGAAGTTTAACGAAAAGCGTAATTAATAGTGTAAACAAAATTTTTAAGGTTGTAAATATATAAATAAAATAAATATACTAGTACAAATTTATAAATTCAAATCATTTTTAGTTAGAATGTCACTAGAAAATATACAAAATTGTTTAATCAATAATTAACACAGTTTTTGTGATTCAGTAATAATTTAATGCTTTCAAATAGATTATTATAAGCTCTGTAATTATTGACAAAACGTTACGACAAACACGACAAACAATTTTGTTAGATTAAACTTTTTATGTTGATAGATATCAAGGTCCTAAAAAACATACTAAAATATATTAGTACGGGAGCCAGCAACGTTTTCGAGCAAGCATTTTAGTCAGGCTTGTTTTTTGGTATGTGGTTCTTGGTGCTCTCTCGGTTAGGGTAAGGGCCGTCTGGCAGCTGGAACTGGTTGCGTTAATTAGTGCGCAGCCAATTTGTACAGCGCGATTTCAAAATTTTGAAAGCATTTTAGTTAGTCGAATTTTCATTTTTTTTGATTTTGAATAGGATCACCAGATTCACATTTTTTGTTGCCAGACATTTTGGCGCTGCTAAA